GGCGCTGTTGTCGAAATCCGGAGGACATGGCTACTGTAACATGGGATATGGCGTCGCGTACGTTCTCGGATGGTTTCTGTAGTGTCTATGGTCGTTTTTGCAATTTGTTTTTGTGATTATCAAGTGCTTGGCATTGTGATTACATAGGTTCGAGTTTTGTCGCTATGCAATGAAAACGAAGAGAAAGAAGACGGATGCGCAGCGCTACGCGCCAGCATGCAAGACTGGTTACCCCAGTTTTCACTAAATTGTGGAAGTAAGGTTTAACCAATTTATTCATACACGTTGAAACACCCATGAAGCATTCAAAGGCCACACTAATGAACCGCTAATATCAAAAACAGCTACGCTTGGCGCGAGCTTCGCTGGCAGGAGTGCTCCGGAATTAGGGTGCCTACATGTCTGTCTGTCTCAGGGTGAAGACATCCACTGTTGCCCTGAATGTGCCAGCGCGTGACACTCTCGCGCACTCGGTGCGTGACTTGGGCAGTAAAATGGCGTCTATGCATTAGCAGAGGCTACGCGCTCGAGCTGAGTGTCACCGGATTGCGCGAGCTTCAAAATGCATAAAAAACGATTGGGCAGAAAAATGGCTGAGATGTCACCACTCAAGCAAAAGCGCGCGTGTGTATGAAGGCACTCTATCCGGAATCGAACACCAGCGCCACCTGGCAGGTTCTACACGAAGCGCCTCACCTGGAGGCCGGCTAGTGTCGTGCGCTCGAAAGGGCCTCTCCCGTCTGAGTCCACCTTTGGAGAGCGATAACTAAATTAATTCTGGGCCGCTTCAAAAGCACTCGGGCATACGCGTCATAGACCTAGAGGAGATTCCTTATAATGAATTACAGACTGCTGAGTGTCGCCATTGATGGTACAATTGACGGCGCGTATGCCCGAATTTGTGGGAAACGCCCCCTTTTTGGCCGATTTTGACGTCTGAGGCAACCTTTGGAGAGTGATAACTAAATAAATTCTGGGCCGCTTCAAAAGCACTCGGGCATACACGTCATAGACCTAGAGGAGATTCCTTATAATGAATTACAGACTGCTGAGTGTCGCCATTGATGGTACAATTGACGGCGCGTATGCCCGAATTTGTGGGAAACGCCCCCTTTTTGGCCGATTTTGACGTCTGAGGCAACATTTGGAGAGCGATAACTAAATAAATTCTGGGCCGCATCGAAAGCACTCGGGCATACACGTCATAGACCTAGAGGAGATTCCTTATAATGAATTACAGACTGCTGAGTGTCGCCATTGATGGTACAATTGACGGCGCGTATGCCCGAATTTGTGGGAAACGCCCCCTTTTTGGCCGATTTTGACGTCTGAGGCAACCTTTGGAGAGTGATAACTAAATAAATTCTGGGCCGCTTCAAAAGCACTCGGGCATACACGTCATAGACCTAGAGGAGATTCCTTATAATGAATTACAGACTGCTGAGTGTCGCCATTGATGGTACAATTGACGGCGCGTATGCCGGAATTTGTGGGAAACGCCCCCTTTTTTTCCGATTTTGACGTCTGAGGCAACCTTTGGAGAGTGATAACTAATTAAATTCTGGGCCGCTTCAAAAGCACTCGGGGATACACGTCATAGACCTAGAGGAGATTCCTTATAATGAATTACAGACTGCTGAGTGTCGCCATTGATGGTACAATTGACGGCGCGTATGCCCGAATTTGTGGGAAACTCCCCCTTTTTGGCCGATTTTGACGTCTGAGGCAACTTTTGGAGAGCGATAACTAAATAAATTCTGGGCCGCTTCAAAAGCACTCGGGCATACGCGTCATAGACCTAGAGGAGATTCCTTATAATGAATTACAAACTGCTGAGTGTCGCCATTGATGGTACAATTGACGGCGCGTATGCCCGAATTTGTGGGAAACGCCCCCTTTTTGGCCGATTTTGACGTCTGAGGCAACCTTTGGAGAGCGATAACTAAATAAATTCTGGGCCGCTTCAAAAGCACTCGGGCATACGCGTCATAGACCTAGAGGAGATTCCTTATAATGAATTACAGACTGCTGAGTGTCGCCATTGATGGTACAATTGACGGCGCGTATGCCCGAATTTGTGGGAAACGCCCCCTTTTTGGCCGATTTTGACGTCTGAGGCAACCTTTGGAGAGTGATAACTAAATAAATTCTGGGCCGCTTCAAAAGCACTCGGGCATACACGTCATAGACCTAGAGGAGATTCCTTATAATGAATTACAGACTGCTGAGTGTCGCCATTGATGGTACAATTGACGGCGCGTATGCCCGAATTTGTGGGAAACGCCCCCTTTTTGGCCGATTTTGACGTCTGAGGCAACCTTTGGAGAGCGATAACTAAATAAATTCAGCGCCGCTTCAAAAGCACTCTTGCATACGCGTCATAGACCTAGAGGAGATTCCTTAGAATGAATTACAGACTGCTGAGTGTCGCCACTGATGGTACAATTGACGGCGCGTATGCCCGAATTTGTGGGAAACGCCCCCTTTTTGGCCGATTTTGACGTCTGAGGCAACCTTTGGATAGCGATAACTAAATAAATTCTGGGCCGCATCGAAAGCACTCGGGCATACGTGTCATAGACCTAGAGGAGATTCCTTATAATGAATTACAGACTGCTGAGTGTCGCCATTGATGGTACAATTGACGGCGCGTATGCCCGAATTTGTGGGAAACGCCCCCTTTTTGGCCGATTTTGACGTCTGAGGCAACCTTTGGAGAGCGATAACTAAATAAATTCAGGGCCGCCTCAAAAGCACTAGGGCGTACGCGTCATAGACCTAGAGGAGATTCCTTATAATGAATTACAGACTGCTGAGTGTCGCCATTGATGGTACAATTGACGGCGTGTATGGCCGAATTTGTGGGAAACGCACCCTTTTTGGCCGATTTTGACGGTTGAGGCAAGCTTTGGAGAGTGATAACTAAATAAATTCTGGGCCGCTTCAAAAGCTCTCGGGCATATGCGTCGCAGAACTGGAGGAGATGCATTATTATGGCTTATAGAGTACTGAGTGTCACCATTGATGGTACAATTGTCGGCGCGTATGCCCAAATTTCTGAGACACACGCCTTTTTTGCCTGATTTTGACGTCTGAGGTTGTGATGACTTAAGAGATACTGGGCCGTTTCAAAAGCTCTTGGGCGCACGCGAAGCAAACCTACATAGGATTGATTAATTAGCAGTAACAGCGTGCTAAATGTCGCCATAAATGCTACTCTTCGTGTCCCGTTTGCCAAAGTGTCTGGACCACGCCCACTCATTTTAGCATTTTTATTTTTAATACCATTCTTGGAAGTGGAATAGCTGGTGAAATGAAATTTGGACACTTTGTAAAAGATAGTTCGGATCAAAAAACGCTTTGACTCCTTAATTATTCAGCGCTTTAAGTATAATGTATTTGAGCTAATTACGCGATAAGAACGAAAAAAACAAAAAAACAAAAACAAAAAAAAACTGCATTTACGTTTTGTGTTTATCAATTAAGAAAATATTCAGTGTAGTTGCCGTTTTGCTATACATTACATAAGTTGCTAAAAAATGTATTTAGGAACGCAACAACGTCACTGAATCCTCGAGTCTCCTCACCAACTGCGGATTCTTTTTGGTATTTAAAGCCCTGGGGAACCACTTTAAATTTAAGTAATTTGAAAATAAAAACTGTTTCCATGGAGCTGGAGACATTGGCTATATATATAGCAAAATGCAACTAAATTGATCGTGTGGTTTTCTTAGGGTTTGCATCGAATGCTGAAAAGACGTATGATTTTTCTGCGGTTCGCCATAGGAACCAATGAGTAAAAGTTTGGTTGCATTTTGGCCAGACTTAATATAAACCCTGGACCACGAAAATTCTCGTGGAGGTTGAGGGCAACGTATTAAAACGTGACACAAAAGTGCAAAGGGATTGAATGATTAGTTTTCTTTGTATAAAAAAAGATCGCTTTGGTCCATTGAGTTACGGGCGCCGGCGCAGCGGCGGCCGATAGATGGCGTAAGTAGTAACGGCGCTCGCCTGTCCGAGAATCTTGGGGTTGATTAGTTATATTTATTGGGAAAATGTCGGCGTGCGATGTGATTGTGTATAGTTAGGCTGCTTTGTTTTTGGGTCTTATTTTTTGTGCAACTATTTTAACGTCTGTTCAAAAACTATGGTGACATAGTTTCGGAAATTGCAGGGTCAGTGCGATGAATTAAGTCAATAGAGAGAGAGCAATCCTAAACGAGGACACCAAGTAACATGAGGAGGTGACCGTCGGAGCAAGATAAAACTTAGTCTAAGTTTTATCTTGTTCCGACGGTTCTATCCCCAATGTCATCCGTGCGTCCTCTCTTAGGGTTCCTATTCCTCTTTTGTGCCCCCTAGTTCAGGGGTTCAAAGCTCCAAAGTCTACAATGGCTTTTGCCCATTCTCCTGCTGGGGCCATCCGGCTTCACCTTGATTTTTTTTGTCTGCTTATCCATTTAGGGTTGTAGTCTGAAACAACTAAAAACGAAAATATTTTTTATTAAAAACCTCAAAATGAACGAAAAAGAAAATTACCCTGTCTAGGAAATGATGGGACGGACGTGAAAATAAAAATAAAACCCAAAAATGAAGAACATATGTATACCCTATTTGATCATTGGGAACACGAATCCCAGCTGATATGGTGACGCAGCACTCTTGTATCTGTGCCCCGTGCTGGCCTCCTGTGGGTGGTATAGCCACACCAGCACTACAATTTTTAATGCGAAAGCATTAACTGTCTCATGGAGCGAGCTGACGTCATCAGTCGGCAGCGCGAAAACGGCAGATAGTTTCCGCACGCCTTCGGTTCCATTGGCTGGCGCACGTCGACGGGGCTCCCATTGGCCGCTGCGCTATGGCCTCCGAGATCTCGAAGCGCGTGAGCGCTGGTACGCAGCAGACGAAAAGAGAGCGGATGAGCAGACGACAAAGGGAGCGGACGAGCGGCTTGCATGCTTTTGCATTCACATTTCATAAGAAGTGCTTAGGTGTACCTCGAGCTTTTTTCTTTCTAGGAGGTGTTGGCTTAGTTTTCTTTGAAATTTAGGAGAGGAGGGGCTTAGGAAGATCTTGCTCAAGATCGAGGTCATGCATCTACTTGCTTTTCAAGCCAAGACTTGCCGGTCTCGTCTTAACCAGCTTTTGTCTTTCCATTGTCTTTGTACCAGGTGTGGGCAGTAGGGGAGTTTGCCTCACCCAATGAGAGCTCGCTGTTCACCCCGCGGGTGATCACGGACTACTTTGAGGTGCTTGAGTGCGTCACGTTTGAGATGTTGGGTTCACCCACCCTGCTGCAGCGGGAGCGCCGACTAAGGCTACTTTGTGTCCTCATCACTAGCCTCAGCAAAGTAAGTGTCTTCTGTTCGTAAAGAGTCAGAATAACTGGTTTCGCCGCTTACTGAAAAGCATTAGCGATTCTTCCTTCATCGTAAATTTCCTTTCAAGTAATTTTGCATTGGACACATGTTTAAGAAAAATGAAATATGAGCGAATGTTTCATCAAAGTAAATGTCGTGCAAAGTAGGTAATTTTGCGTTCGACACTGTTTTAGAAGATTGAGAGCTTGAGACAGTGTATCACTGTCTCAGAAGAATTGTACCCTATACTTACTGTCATTGAATAAGGATTGCTACACTTGAAATGGTGCCTTCTACGCTTTCTTGTTTCCCAAAAAAAAGGTACAGCACATACCCAAAAACTCTCGGATGTTTTTCATTCAAACATTTATAGGAAACCTGTGCTGTGAGCCATCGGAGCCTATTCAATAGCGTGTGAGTGTCACATGTCCTTTGGGTGGGGAGCAGCGACACGTGGGGCTCATAGTCAAGTAATACGCTTGCAGCTCTGGACTGGCTGGGATGGCTCGTAGCATCCGACGTAGGATGAAAGGGAATATGGCGTAAAATCCTCTATGAACACCCTCCCCCGAGAGACCACTTGTCCCGTTTTATTGGCTAATTATTCATAACATAAAAATTCAGAAACATCACACAACCCTTGATTCTCAATGGATGTCACGTCCGACGGGAGTAACATCAATCGCGCGATCTGCAGTATCGGAACGTCTGACAAGCAAGTTTGTAGCTGGTTCCTGCATTTTTTGTCCGCAGTCTGCGCATGATATCAGTTCCTGTGGCATGCGAGTTTATCGCAACGGGAAACGCCAATCTGCTGCATCTGCGATCTGTGGGGTCACTTATTTCCCGGGTCATGTGGTTGATAGCGGGTGCCCTGGCGTTTATCAGTCATTTCTGATAAACGTTTGCTGTGTCGTCCCCAGAGATCACCCACCAAATATTTTTCACCATTTATATTTTAACGCAATAGCGTTGAGCTCGTGTGGCAGAAAAGCCGGTGCCAGTGGCGCGACGCAGATCCTGATTCGTCGATTAAATCATGACATCACAGCAACATGACCTCGTGCGGGAATTTCAAACGAACCACACGCTCACGTGAAACGTGACGTCACACGTGGATTGAAAGTGATTTTAAAACGTGACATGTAATGTGAATTAAAGGTCGCCGCATGTCTCAAATGATTTTTCCTTATAAAGTAATTCATTTGCCTTAAAGAAAGATGTGAAGAATTTTAGGCGGGGTTCGAACGCACAACCTTTCGGTTGCGAGTGAGACACGCTACTGCCTAGGCCATGCAAGGCACGCTTGCTTGGCAGAGGAGAAGGCGATGCGAACGGGGCCTGATAACGCTACCGCGTTCCACTCTTAGAGGCGAAACTTAAAGAGTTTTCTAAGTTTTTATTTTGGTTGGGTCTTTTTACGGGATTTTAGGGTAGTGTGTGCGTGATCAGCGAGAAGGTGTGGTTCCTTTGCCTCTTCTTTTGACTCCCGTAGCTAGCCGTGCGCTCTCAAGACCTGGTGCCTAGGGCTTTGCTCTGTTTGTCCAAGACCGGCCAAGTGTGCGGGACGGAGTGTTCGGGGCCTAGGGCTGTTCTGGAACGCAGGGTCGCCGAGCTGAGGGCGGTCCTCGAGAGCTCCGGGTGAGTGTAATGCAGAACTCTGTTGGCAGCTTGCCATTTGGGAAGTCATCAGACCATTCCAGGAAAGATGTGGCTGTCTTCGATCCGCCATTTTCAGAAATCGCGGCTTCAGGAGGTTTTGGAAGGAGTGCCCTGCGAGCGTGGCACGAGCAAGTGCGAGTGCCTCACTTGGAAGTTTGCTGCCTGGAACGCAACTTTGGCTGACGTGTTTAGTGCCCTATACTAGTGTTGTGCGAATATTCAAATAGTAGTTTAGAATAATGTGCTATTTGATATTCGCTTTGATTTGAACTGCTACATTCATAGCACTTTTAAAAGTGTTGATCGTGTCGGGCTATTTCCGTTGAGTGGGCTCTCACCGAGCACCTGTACACTACGGAGAAGCAATACCCGCAGAGCTCGCAGGTCTATTTGTAGGTATCACTTTCCCGCAGAGCTCGCAGGTCTATTTGTAGGTATCACTTTCCCGCAGTGCACAGTTGGTCGATGAGAAGCACTGCACGGAGCTTATCTGCTGCGATTATGCAAAAATATGTTGGACAGCGATGTCTCGACAGCCCGCATTCATCATTCATCCTCGTTTTTTTTGTTTCTTTTGCCAAATTTGAAGTAGAAGAAAGAATATATATCAGGGAGTTTTTGATAAACGAGAATAGTTTTTTGGCTCGGCTAAATAAACTAAGCGTCGCAGAAAGCTCAGACTCTGTGAGAATGTGACGCTAGCGTTTGGAATGTAAGGCGAAAGTGTGAGAACATGGCGTCACCTGGATCAAAAGATAATTGGGTAAATACGAAAGTTCTCTACGAGCCGACGTCCAGCTAAGCCTAATATCGTTAAAACAAAAAGAATGACATTGTGAGTACCTGTAGTATCTATTTTAGTGAAAGAAACATATCAGCAAGAAAGAAAGCAAATCCCCTTGTTGAGAAGTTTTTTTTCCACTGAAATATATGCTACATGCTAGCTCCCACTATGTCATTTTGTGTTTTAACGATATTAGGCTTAGGTGAATGTCGACTCATAGAGATATTTGGTTTTTCTCAATCATCTTTTGATCCAGGTAATGCCATGCTCTCAAACTTTTGCGTTCTATTCCAACCGCCAGCTTCACATCCTCACAGAGTTTGAGCTTTCTGTAATGCATAAGTTTATTTACCCAAACCGAAAAACACGGTTCCCATTTCTCAGAACCTCCCTGTGTGTACAGAGCAAAGCAGATTTATACTTAATATCCTCGATAAGAATAGCTGCGACAAATCTGTCGTTCACTTTAACAGTTCACAAATATACTTATATTAAAATTACCTGAGCCCAGTGGTGGACGAATGGAAGTTTCTTTTATCAACCTTCGGGAGTTGAGCTGAATTTTAATTTAAGCATGATGCACCGTAGTGAAAGACTCAAAGAAACTATCTGATATTTGATTAAAAAATATTCAGCCAAAACCACTTTTGGCTTTGAATTCGCTTCAAACCCAAAATCGGACACTATTCGCACATGTTTATCCTATGCACCCGACACCAACAGCAGAACAGGTGTCCGCCATACCCACCTCGTCTGCTCTGCCTCTGCAAAGGTTGCAGTAGGCAACGACATGACACGTCTATGATGTCATCGAACAGGAATGGAGGCACCACAAATAAGAATGCAGTAAGCACACCATTCACAGACTCGTTCCAAGCACCACACTTGAAAGAGTGCTCCCCTCAAAGGACCACTCACGCAGTGGGAGCATTTGCCCCTAGTTCTCAAACTGGCTGTTTTGAAGATTGCGTATTTATTGGAAAGAAATTGGCAGTATAAACACTCGTGATGACGACGCGGGACAATAAAAATGGTGGCAGCTCAACACAGTTTGGTGTGGAGTGCAGATCAGCGTAAGCAGCCTATGGCCTGGGGAAGTTGCTGAATCACACCTGGAAACTGACTGTCCAAAGTTGAAGCTAGAAAGCAGTGAAATTTGGTGATAAGGATGACAGTGACGAGGTGATAGTTGTGATGGAGGTGCTTGAACAAGATGCAAGGTTAGCATCAAGTGCTGAAGGCTAATAAAAAAAAAAAATGTAACTGGGTTGTGTATTTTTATCCATTGTGCATCTTTTACTATACCACATCTTAATAATTGTTCATAAAATATAGTTAAAATTGGCTGATGTAGCTACAAGAAAGCTCCATGTGTTTTTCATGGTGCTCGATTACTTTACGTGTTCCGGAACGGTGTTGAGTCACTATCAGCCTTGATGGTAGCCCGGCAAAATTCTTAATTACCGATTTCCATCAGAATCAGTTGAACACATTAATAGACACCTCTGAACCAGTAATCCAAATTGCAAGTCACAGTAATTGTTTCTTGCAAAGTTGTTGAAAATTTGGACTGAAAAGCCAAGATGTTCCACTGGCAGCACTGAAAACGTAACGTCAGATGTTATTGTTTTTAGGCTAGATGGCGCAAGTTACAAAGGGTACAGCTGTTATCATCCATCCGTCCATCCATTCATGTTGTAATATGGGGCAATATGGGGGCATTACAGCTTGTTCCCGACGGGTCACGAGAAGTTTGACGGTGTGAAGTGAACGCTGGAGAAACTCGTGCCGGAATAAAATAAGAAGCACCAAATACTGTATTTACTCGCACAATGAACGCACTCGCGTAATGAACGCACCCCCCAAGTCGGCTCTCAAAAGTTCGACTTTTTTTTCACTCGCGTAATAAACGCACCCCCAACTCGGACGTCAAAATTTTGACCCCCTCCTCCCTCGCGCGCGAAATGAACGCACTTTTCTATCCTGGTGCAGCGAGGTCGCGAATGCATGGGCAGCGTGGTCGAACAAAACGCCTTGCAAAAGGCGTTAAATAAATTCGCAAAGATCCAACCGAAGCAAGAAAAAAAAACATGCGAGAGGAGCTTTTTTTTTCTTTTTTGCACAGCGCAGTTTGGACTTTGGGTTCGCGCGCCGCCGCCCGCAAGGAGGTAAGAAAGAAGCGCTCTAAGCGAACAAAACAGCTTGTGAAAGGCGGCAAAAAAGGAAGAAAAGAAACCCAAGGAACTAAGAAAAAACAAAAAGAGAGGAGCTTTTTTTTTTTCCTCTTTTTTGCACAGCGCAGTTTGGTTACGGGGGTCGCGCGCCGCGCGCAAGGAGGTAACAAAGAGGAGCGGAGAAGCCCTCTAAGCAAAGGAAACAGCTTGCCGAAAGGAGGAAAAAAAAAAAACCCACGGAACTGAGAAAAAAAAAAACAAGAAAAAGGGGAGCTTTTTTTCTTCTTTTTTTTGCACAGCGCAGTTTGGTTGGGGGGGGGGGGGGGGAGGGTCGTGCGTCGCGCGCCGCGCGCAAGGAGATAAGAAATATAAGCGGAGAGTCATCACCTAAGCAACGCCTAAGCAAACAAAACAGCCTGCGAAAGGCGGCAAAAAAAAAATCCAAAAAACTAAGATAAAAAAAAAAGATTTTTTTTTTTGCACAGCTTAGTTTTGTTACTGGGTCGGGCGCCGCGCGCAAATAAGAAGTTACTTCGATTTTTCAGGATAAAAGGTCCGTTCATTATGCCAGTAAATAACTGAATAACCGACGCAAAAATTTTACTTCGCGTAATGAACGCCCCCCTAACTTTGCATCGATTTTTCGGAAAAAAAAGTGCGTTCATTCTGCGAATAAATACGGTATATATATATTATTAGGTTAAAAATATAGGGTGATTTAATGAGGAATGATTATATACAGGATGGATAGTAGGGGTGACATTCGTCCGGGAACAGTCCGAGCTCTCTGAATGCTCGTCGAGCGCGCGCCACTCTGCGGTACTACTTCTTCCTAACAATATTCGCCCCGTCGGTGCAGGCACCGGTCATCTGGTGCGTTTGAGAGGCTTACGTATCACGACGATAGTAAGGTTTCATACGGCTTATGTGGACCGCGTCACAAGATCTTGAACGATGGTCAAGGGGCGGGGTAACAGGCGCAACTTCGTAGTTGTTGAAAGAAAGTTGACTGACGACACGGAACGGGCCGACGAATTGCTTGAGGAGTTTTTGAGACTTGCCGGGTGCGCGCAAGGGAGTCCACAAGAGAACTTCGTCGCCGATGTCGTAGGTGGTAGGCAGATGACATGCATCGTAACGTAGCTTCTGGTGCTGCTGCGATTCCTGGGTGTGCATGCGAGCAAGTTGGCGAGCGTCCTCTGCTCTGGATGTGATCTCTGCTGCGGACGGCTGAACCAAGGTGTCAGGTGTGTAGGGCAAAATGGTATCAAGAGGTGTGAAGGGTTCGCGGGCATAGAGGAGGTAGTATGGAGAGTAGCCGGTTGTAGACTGCCGTGCCGTATTATATGCATATGTTACGTAGGGAAGAATGATGTCCCACTTGGTATGATGGTCAGCAACATACATTGAAACCATGTCGGCAAGTGTGTGGTTCAAGCGCTCGGTCAGTCCATTTGTTTGGGGATGGTAGGCGCTTGTGCCTTTGTGGACTGTGGAAGAAAGCCGAAAGACGTCTTCAAGGACTTGAGAGAGAAAGGGAGCGCCACGATCACTAATTATAAACTGGGGAGCTCCATGACGCAAGAGAATGGAGTGCAGAAAAAAATTAGCAACTTCATCGGCGTTGGCGGCGGGTACAGAAGTTGTCTCAGCATAGCGTGTCAAATGATCAATAGCGACAATGATCCACCTGTTCCCGCTTGTCGACAGAGGAAAAGGACCGAGAAAGTCGATTCCTATACGCTGGAATGGTTGGTATGGTTGCGGAATCGGTTGTAGTCTACCAGGAAGCCTGGTGGTAGGTCTTTTCTTTGTCTGGCAGTCGTGACACGCCCGAACATATTTGTTGATGGTGCGGGTCATGCCCGTTCAGAAGTAACGACTCCGTATGCGGAAGTACGTTTTGGCAAATCCGAGATGTCCGGCTGTTGCGTCGTCATGGTTAGCTTAAATGATATCTCTTTGTAGTTGCCGGGGGATAACCAAAAGCCAAGCGCGTCCGTGGACGTCATAGTTCCGCCTATAGAGGACTCGATTCCTGAGTTGGAATAGACGGGCACGGCGTAGAATTTGCGCAGGAGGGTTCTGATATAAACCTTGTAAGTGGTGAATGATGGGGTGTAAGGAAGGATCAGACTGTTGTGCGGCAGCAATGTCGATGTAGTCTAAGACGGCCGTTGTTGTGTCGAGGTCAGCGGAAGGTGTACGTTGCGACGCAGGGGGAAGTGGGCATCTTGAAAGACTGTCCGCGTCGAGGTGTCTTTTGCCAGATTTGTAGTGCACAGTAAATGTGTAGTCTTGTAACTTCAAGGACCAGCGTCCAAGACGTCCGGAAGGGTCTTTTAACGTTGTTAACCAGCATAACGCATGGTGATCAGTGACGATAGTGAAGTGTTTGCCATAGAGATAAGGACGGAATTTTGAAATTGCCCAAACAACAGCCAGACACTCGCGTTCTGTTATACTGTAGTTTCGCTCGCATTTTGTAAGCGTACGACTTGCATAGGCAATCACACGATGGACACCGGAGACGTTCTGGGCCAACACAGCGCCGATGCCGTGGCCGCTGGCATCTGTGCGGATCTCCGTGTCGGCGCCTGGGACGAAATGATCAGGAACTGGAACGGTCGTCAAGGCAGTCTTGAGGGCTTGGTAGGCATCGTGTTGTTCGCGACTCCATTGGAAGGTTGCATTGTTACGGAGAAGTGAGTTCAGGGGTTCAGCGATGTGGGCGAATCCGGGTATGAATTTCCGAAAATAGGTGCAAAGACCGAGGAAGGCGCGCACGACTTTCAAATGTTTGGGCACTGGAAATTCGGAAACGGCTTGTACCTTGGATGGGTCAGGGCGAATTCCGTCAGCGCTGACAATGTGACCCAAAACCTTGATTTGGCGTGCTCCAAAGACACATTTTTTTGAGTTAAGCTGGAGGTGGGCTGATCGAAAGCACTCGAGGACGTGCTTTAGCCTGTCCAAGTGTTGAGAGAATGAGCGGGAAAAAACAATGATATCGTCTAGATAACATAGGCATATTTTCCAGGTGAGACCACGCAGCACAGTGTCCATCATTCTTTCAAATGTGGCTGGGGCATTACACAAACCAAAGGGCATGACGTTAAACTGATAGAGGCCGGCGGAGGTAATGAAGGCAGTTTTAGGTTTGTCAATATCCGCAACGGGTATCTGCCAATAGCCACTGCGAAGGTCCATTGAAGAGAAGAAGGATGATCCTTGAAGAGTGTCGAGAGTGTCGTCAATTCTGGGTAGAGGGTAGACGTCCTTGGAAGTAATTTTGTTTAAGCGTCGGTAATCTACGCAAAAGCGCCAGGTTCCATCTTTTTTCTTTACGAGGACTACAGGTGACGACCAGGGGCTTGATGAGGGTTCAATTATTTTCTTGCGAAGCATATCAGTGACGTGTTCGTGAATGACCTGGCGCTCTGCCGATGAAACTCGGTAGGGACGACTTCGAACAGGAGAGGCTTCGCCCGTTTCGATGTGATGGGAGACCTCCGACGTCTGCGCAAGGGGTCGATTGTCGAAATCGAAGAGGTCGTCATATGAAAGAAGAAGCTGGGTTAAAGCTTCTTTTTGGCCGTCAGATAAGCGGGTGTCTATCATCTTCGCAACGTGCATGTTGGCGTCCGGAGGGGCTGGCAAGGTCTGAATGTTAATACTGTCAGAAAGGGGTACGAAGTTGTCGTAGATATGAGTAGTGAGTGTAGCCAAGCGGGCACCACGGGGTACAATTTGGGGTTCAACTGAGGTGTTGGTGATGAAGAGAGAAAGCTGTCCTTGAAGTGTGTCGGCGATGCAGTAGGGGATGATGACAGGCTTCTTTGTGACAAGGCTGGCGATGGGCTCGATAAGACCGGATGTGCATGGAAGAGAACGGTTCGGCATGAGTGTGATATAGGCAGCCGAGAGGGGAGGTAAGATGTAATCACCACTGGCATGAAGAAAAATGGGGTAAGGTTCACAGGCGGTGTCAGTAGTCGGCGAAGAGTTCAAGAGCAATTCCCGGCTGGCGCAGTGAATGGTCGCGTCAGTGGCCGAAAGGAAATCCCATCCCAATATAACGTCGAAGACACAATTTTCGAGTACAGTGAATAGAATTATGTAGGAAGTACGACCGATCTGAACCGGTATAATGCAGTGACCGAGAGGTTGTACGAGGTCACTGTTTCCCATGCGAAGGAAATATCCAGGAGATGGTGGAGTTAGCACTTTGTGCAAACGGCGACGGAATTGATTAGAAATGCAGGATTTTGCTGCACCTGTGTCTATTAAAGCTGCGACTTTTTCTCTTCCAATTTCGACGGCGATAGTGGTAGGGCCAAGAGAAGGAGGATTTGGGGCTGTTGACGGCGATGCCGCCTGAGCTCCTGTGTCACGACAGGCTGCGTTGTTTAGTTTGACGGTGGAGATGTGGCAGTGGCATCAATAAACGGCGAGACAGAGCGGCGTCGAGGGTAGGGGGATGAGGACCGGCCACGCCGAGAACCAGGAAAAGGGGGAGGACTCCAGTTGCGGCGGTCGTCGGAGGTGCGGCTGGGGTTGTGGTCGTTGAAGGGTGGGGTAGAAGTGGGGTTGCGATTGTATGTCTCGGACTGAATACGGCGGCGGCAGTAGCGAATAATGTGGCCAGGTGAGTGGCAGTAGAAGCATACGGGACGGTTGCTTCGGTGCGATATGCCTCAGTTCTTCGGGGTGGTCCGTAACGTCGAGGAGGTGGGGAAACGTTATTCAAATGCTGCACGGGGCAGAGGTGTGGGGATGCGTGCTGCAAGGCGCAGATGGGCGGCAAGAAGGCAGGCGGCGGGACGTGAGGGCAAGGAACCGGTGCGATGGGGCAAAGCGCAGCCCGAAGTTCATCCTTGATGACTTGTTGAACACTAGAAGTCTCGGTTTGTGGGCGTGAAATATCGGCGGAGGGACGAAAGGAAGCTACAAATTCGCGTAATTCTTCGCGAATGATTCTTCGTGTAAGAGTAGAAAGCTCACCGGCGGAAGATGGGGCAGACACTTCCGGGAGGCGTTCAAACGAAGTGTTGAGGATCCGACCGCTTTGTAGCTCTTCGTACTTCTTACATTCCGCAATGAGCTGGTGGACGGTCGGAGGCAATTCGGGTGCGACGACTAAAAATAGTTGCTGGGACAACCCTTTGAAGAGGTGCCTGATTTTCTCGTCCTCTGGCATAGCTGCATTGACGCGACTGCAAAGGCGGAGTACGTCTTCGATATAAGAGGTCGAAGATTCAGAAGCGGCTTGGTACCGCTTGGAAAGCTTGTCCTTGGCATGCTGTCTGCGGCGTTCAGGTGTGTCAAAGACGTCCGCAAAGGCGGCTTTGAACGGGTCCCATGAATTGATTTCGGTTTCGTGGTTGTCGAACCATTGTAGTGCTGTGCCTTTCAGGAAAAAGACAACGTTGGCGAGCTTGATCATGTCGTCCCAACGATTATGCTGACTCACGCGGTCATAATTCTTCAGCCAGTCTTGGACGTCCGAATCAGGGGTACCGGCGAAATCGGGGGGGGGGGGGGGGGGGGGGGTCACGTTGGCGATTCTTGATGTGTAGAGGCCGCTGGTCCGTTGTGTTGGTGTTCTCATCGGGCATGGTTGCAGAGGTGAAGCGGCCGCTGCGCAGCTCCAGGTCAGATGAGCGGAGGGGAAGGTCGGGGATTTTGCTGCACCTCCACCACGTATTAGGTTACAAATATAGGGTGATTTAATGAGGAATGATTAGATACAGGATGGATAGTAGGGGTGACATTCGTCCGGGAACAGTCCGAGCTCTCTGAATGCTCGTCGAGCGCGCGCCACTCTGCGGTACCACTTCTTCTTCCTAACAATATATATATATATATATATATATATATATATATATATATATATATATATAGACTACCTCCTTGATTTGCATATTTACACTGTGGGATTTGCCCTTTGGGGGGTATACCACTTAGAAACACGGAAAGGTTCCATGGGTCCGGATAAAGACGTGTTTATTGACTGCAATGTCAGCACGCTTCGCTCTTAGACAATCAAAAGTCTGGGCGCTGGCTTAATTGCCAGTATCACCCGGTCGGTTTCCCGCGCTGCCGCATTAGACAGAATCACGGGAAGTCGGAGGCCCACAAAGAAAAACCGAGCTCCGTAGAGCCAGGGCCTCCGCCGACGAGAGCCCCTGGCCCACCTTCGGGGCCAGCTTATGTAGCCTCGGAGAATGGACGCGCCCGGGGAGGCCACTAGCAGTCGCGTCCATTATAACTCTCAAGGGTGTGCCGAAGGCGCGTTCACCCAGGGGCAAGGGAGAGCCGGCCCCTTCGGGGAATTCGGCCTCGTGGTTCCTTGTATCCGGGAGGCCGACGCCATTGTTGACGACGACTCCCACGGCCTGCTTGAAGCTAGGCCTGGATAGGGATAGAGGGAACCCAATGGTTCCCACAACACAACATGCGACGTTGCCCCGGTGGAGAGCATGGGAAAATATGAATGTCAGTCTTGGTATCGCGTTTTTTTTAGTAGCTATTTCAAAGTTAGTGAATAAATATCATGCCGAAAGGAATGAGGCCTAGGTATACGAAAAATTTGTTTAGGTTGGGTAGGTAAAAAAAGCACAAGACCTCAAGAAACAGTAACATATGGTTTACTAATCACAAATGTTTTGTTTCATTAGGGGGTCCTTATTGGTAATATTGATGTTGTTTGGTTTTTCTTTCTCAACACATTTTATTTATTTTTTATTTGATAAAGGCAAAGCGAATGACAACAACTTTTTCCACTCTAGTGCTGCTTCTACAATCCTCACACCGCCAAAGGAAGATGAGTTGAAAAGGTGAGGTTCTCGTTAATTATTCATAGATTATTATAAGAAATAAACTGTTACTAAATTAATGTGGTCATCCTCATGTGACTGAACCAAGTTGGGAGTTCATTATTGGGGAAATTGCCGGAGTGGTAGATGGATTTTTTTTCTTTTCCAGCAATACCCCGTTTCGTCCACTTAACAAGCTGTGTTATCTTTAAGCCTTGCAATCATTTCAAATCTCCCCGAGACCGAACCAATGTAGGTAATGGACCATCTAATAGAAGTTCACAAAACGTCACCGGTTCATGGATTTTCGAGGCCCGTGCACACCATTGCATTTGAGTGCGTGTAATTGCGTTGCATCTGCAAGTCACCGGGGCATCCGTGCCTCGTATGCCAAGCTGCTCCTTGATTGGTTGCCACACTTCATACAAAGCACGGATGATCCGGCGACTTGTGACCCTTTCTCTACAGAATGCAGTCAAACGCAGTCAAATTGGGGGATCAGTGGGCGAGTGCTTCAGCCCACCACTTCCCTGTGCACGTGGAGCGAAAGCTCGCGCTGCAGAACCAAGGGATCCTGGGTTCAATCCCCCACCCTGCCCGTTTCGATCTGGATGAGCATCGTACCGGCGTGCGGTCGTGTATCACTACTGCGTGGTGCACGTTAAAGACCCCAGGCTAGCGGCTGTACTGCACTGGCTAGATCGCTCATCTGCAGCTGGGAGAACCGTCGCTCGTTCAGGCAGACCAAGTTCTACACACACCCCCATTTGTTTTTCTAACGACTAATTTTTATTGGCTCGATTTCCCTAGAGCTTCTCGATAAAATTCACGCTTCGCATTTCTTACAAGTACCGCCAGTAACATTTTTTCCAAATGCGGAAGGCACGTGCAACGAGCGGGTGTTCATCGCCATCCGCTTCTTCCATCCGCTTCAGTGCTGTGCCGCCATTTGCTTCCAAAGGCTGCACGAGGCATGTGCCTCGTGCATTGGCGCATTCGAGGATGATTGTTCTACCTCCAGTTTTAATAGAAAGTTCCGTAGAAAGGTTGATCGGTGTTTGGACTAAAACGAGGGCTCCGTGTTTTGGAGTTTACCTTTTTTTTGCGTTAACTGTCTCATGGAGCCAACTGACGTCATCAGTTTGAAGCGCGAAAACGGCACCTTGTTTCCCCGATCCCAAAGGAGCGAAGTAAAGCTGATGGATTTTGCCTTCGGTTCCATTGGCTAGCACGCGTTAGAGTCACTAAATAAAGATACGCTTTCAGAGTACCGAAACTCCCAAACTATGCGTCTGAAACGCGTCAGGCGCCGCCAGCTTGGGTCCGCGTGCAGATGGAGGAGTGCTTGTAGCTGAGCCAAGCCGAGCTGTAGCCGTCGCCTGCGCCAGCTGCCGTAGCCACAGCTGTGGCAGCGAATCAAGGTCGTGTTGTTCGTATCTGGACATAAGAAGGAAAAAGTGCGTGCTGAGCGACGGACTTTAGCGTGAGCGCGCAGTAAACAGTAAAACTGCAGCAGGCAGCGGATCGCTGGACCCAAGATGGTGGCGTTGAAAAAACGCGATCATGATGATAGTGACTCACGTGACTGCCGCTGTCCAACGATGCCGCAGCGAACCAATATATTAATGAATGGAGCGACTGTATTGTCGGCAAACTGCCAAAGAAAAGGAATGCGGTACTCTGAAAGCGTAGCTTATTTACTGACTCTAGCACGCGTTGCTCCTCAGTTTCTACAACCGCTCACCCCATGGCGCTGCGTGTCTTTTAGCGCGCCGTTAGCACGGAGCGTCCCAGGTCAGCGTGCCCAGGGTAGCACGCGCGCGGACCGGCGACGAAAAGCACGCAGCAGACGACAAAGGGAGCGGACGAGCGGCTTGCATGCTTTCGCATTCACAACTCATACAAAAACTTAGGTGTACGTCAAAATGTTGTTGTTTTTTTTTTGAGGGGGGGGGGGGTCTTTTTTTACAGATTTGGTGTTTTCAGTGTAAATGAATTAAGCACGGAACCTTTAAAAAAGTACCCCCCCCCCCCTTTCCTCCAAAGAAAAAAAAAAGAATATAAAAAAAAAAAAAACTTTGAAGGCACGGATGCAGTGGAAGCCTGCGTGAAATAAATTGCTGCCTGGGAGCTGATTCCTCTCTCATCTGTACTTTCCATAAGCCTTATCGGTTGTAACGTTTTTTCCTGGCGGTACCCTGAAAAATGTGTCAGTGGGGTTCTATACTGCAGTAAGCTCGTTTCTTTCAATTGTACTATTTACTGGCTTTCAATTAAATGACATTTTAAATGTCCTTAGTGCACAGGGAATACCCATGTCACTTGGGCATTTGAAATGCCTCTAGATCAGGGGTCTCCAAACCCCGGCCCTGGGGCCTGATCTGACCCGCGGAAGTCTTCCAACCGGCCCGGGGCTGGCCGCGGTTCTTCCAATGATGCCGGGCCCGCGGCCCGCTTCCAGCCTACCACCTGCTGCTACCGGCGCAAAAAAGTGCGCCTAAAAAAATGGCGCCACGGCGCGCTCCTAATGCGCAAACGAAGATACAAGAAGGAACGAGAGAAACTGCATCATAACGCGGGTCCTTTGGCCATATTACGTACTCATTGAACATTGTCGTCACCATTCTGGTCTCCTGCTTTGTGTATGTGTGTGGCTATGTTGAAATTGTTTTGCATTATCATGTGAACTCTATTTAGTGTCCCCTTTCATAACTCTTGCACGTTGTCTGCATTAGTTTTGTTATGCTTATCAGTCTTGACACTGTGGGAATATGTCCAACTCATATGAACATTGGTTTACGCCTGGGGAGTTTTCTTGGCCACAGTTGTCGTGTAATGTCGAAATTAGCTAAATATTAAATTTTAAGATGAGCTATGTATATATACAGGTTTTTTTTAAGCTCTACAGATTTGTGTAAAAAAAAAAGCGTGAAAGTTACACTTATGCGGTTTGTGCAGGTGAGTTATACGGCTACGGCCAGTGGACACTCTGTAGGTGGCTAATCTTTGCGATAAGTCGGCTAATTAATTAAAATTTGTTAATAAACTTTTTAATCAGTGAAAATAGGCATATGGTTCTAATTAGAAACTTACTGAGCGTCATCGAAAACCACTAAATCAACTCTTTTTAGAAGGACTTGAAGCTCGTGGGAAACTCGAGGGCGCGCCAAAGTTACCACTCGTGAAGCAGGCGCTAAGCTAGCAGTGGCGGAATGCGAGACTGCAACCAAACAGCTTCTTAGCCACAAAGTTTGGAGACCCCTAAATTGATAATTTTTAGGGCTGAGCAATTGATCGATTGGGTAATCGAATGCTTGCTTTATTACTGGTGCGCATTAATGCAGTTTAGAAAGCAGCACTGTTGTATTGCAAGATAAAATACTTTGGCATTCTTTATGATTGTAATCCAGTGTGACCATCAGTTTTAAAAATGATGTAAGCATTTTTATTTTAAGATGATTTGCGCATTTTTTTTTGTATGTGGGCGGTACAGCGTCGAGTTTTAAATGAGGTTACACATTCTGTCATAAATGACATAGCAAGAAATAGATAAAAATAATGCCTAGTTGTGTACCTTTTTTAATGATATGTTTGAAGGTCATCGCAGGGATTAATCGAGTAGTTTGTTGATTAAAGGGTAGCGATCAATTGGGTTAAAACTTGTTGGATGCCCAGCCCTAGTAATTTTGCTTGTGCTCTTAATTACTCATGATTAGCATGCTACTTTTTGGATATTTTCGGTTTGAAAAGCATCCGAAATTGTCGCGCGACTTATGTTACATGAATATTCTTAAGTACTTTGCAGTGCTGAATTCTCTTATCCAAAATTTCGTTTACTAGTTTGCAGACACTGAAAATATTTTTGATCCATTAACCCTTTGAAATTTCGATTTGTTATGAGCAAACTCTTAAATCCTTGGGGAAGAGAGGGCAGCCAATTCGGAATCTAAGATCTAAAAATGCTGTCACTTAGAACCGCTTTTTTAAATATTTATTTTTATCTCTTTTTCTAAAGGTGTCATCGAGACCTGACGCAACTGCCCGGCCTCGTTCGTCTCGTATCTGCCATGATGGTGAACGAGGGATCGCCTCGGTGATTCAGATTTATTTAAAAGGATTCAAACACAAATAAAATAGTCTGTTTTGTAGCTTTAAAAAAAAATTAATCCAAAACAAAAAGTTTTGGATTCATTTTTTTCTTCCGTTTTCTTTGACTGGGAGCCAAAGCTTTGCACTGCTATCTGGCTAGTGTAGGCTCAATACCACCTGGAAGACAAGGCCTGCTCATGACGTCATCGTTAGTGGACCTCCGACCCGCCCCAAGCGACAAAGACGCTGAAGCTCGACGAGCGGCAGACGCGTCCGTTTTGGCGTCCGTCTTGGCTTTTCACAATGCAGATGCAGTGTCACTAAAGCTGCTTTGTGAAAGTTTGCCACTTCAACCAAGTTTTTTTTTTTTTTTTTCACACAGTGCCTCAGGTCTTCAACCGCGCCATATTGAGGACGGCGTATTAAAATTAACCAGAGAGTGTCCTTAGGAATGTTTAGTGGTGAATCACGGCCAATCCTTTGAGGTGAATATGCCGCTTGCATATTTCACTCTCTGCAAGCCTAATCTTTCCAAGGGGTGAGGCATGGGACGGTGCTCCACAGGACGTGTTTTTTCGGTGTGTTCAATTGACCAATTTAGAAAATCGCAGGTTCTGAAGGTCCTGATATGAGAATATGCGAACATGTGCTCAATCAAGCGCAGGCGCTCCTTCGACTAAGGAAGCAATCCCAAAGTATTTTTTGTTCCTATTGTGGATCTTTTTGCCCCCAAGCTCATACTTCTTACCTCCCCCTCCTAATACACGCATTGTTTTATATTTGGAATCCTCAAGCTGTTTTCTGCCAGGTGGTGCCAGTTATAAAATGGTGGCTTGTTCAAACTCTCATCAGCAATAAAAAAACGCAGGTTAGAGAAATATATATATAGGATATATATTTTTTATCTGAGTGCCTGCCAACAGCCGTGGAACCTGGGGTGCAGTGCACTCTTCTGGGGATTAATAAAACAAGCAAATTACATAAAAATGTCCACTTGAACGAACAAAGTGTTTTGAGTCTGTTGTAGACGTCTTGTAGCAAATTGCTCGCACATCAGAATAAAAGGTGTTAAGGCACCTAGAATTCCGCCCCGATGGTAAGCGAAAGTTTAGAGCCGTCAACAACTCTGCTCAGTCAACACAGCCGCGTACAATCTGGCACAGGAAATACATATTTTTTTAAAATCCTTCGATCGTGCAGCGACAACAGATCGAGGTCCACCAGTAGATTATTGAGTCGTGAAAGCAACGGCGGTCAATCTTACTATTGTAGAAAATTTGTATAAGTTTACGTTGAACATTTTCACTTAAATTACTCTGTAACACCGCGACACAGTTCCATAGCACCGACGAGAATTCAAGGCGCGATCTAACAAGTGCACAATTATAGGCTTAAAAGACAATCGGAATGGACCTTTTTCACATACCGACGGCACCAGGCGGTGGCTGCACGAACTAAAAATCGAGGAAGTGACCTACCTGCGCTACCAATCGATAATGGGAGCTACGCTACCAGTTTCTTCGCTCTCTGAGCAGAGGCGCCTGCCCAACGCGACTTTAAAGGGATACTACAACGAAATTTCGGCGCTCATTTTTTGGTCAATATGTGTTCAAAAAAGCACCATCAAATCGAACATACCAATATCTTGTTAAAAAAAGTCACGAAAAGGAATTTTAAAACGAATTAAACGATTAGCAAAGAGCACCTGGTGGATGTCACCAACGCCTCGCTTGTAATGCCCGTCTAGCAACCTTGGCAGCTAGTGACGGAGGTTGCCTCGCCTCCGGCCACGACGAGAGAAGAGGGGCAGGAGGAACTCCCCTCTTCCCGAGAATGCCTTTTGTGTGTCACAGAAGTGGCTACTGTCCCCCTACAAGATTATAGAAGATTAACCCGTCACTCAACATTTGTACAAAAGCAGCCGCTTCGGTGGCTGGAACGACTAGGCGGACTAGGCCATCCTCTCGACGTCAGCCTCGCCGTAGCTTTGCTCGTCTTGAGACGACCTACGTCACGATTGCGTTGGATGTCACGTGGTCTCCGCTGGGCCTTTTCCGAGCGCTTGCCAGAGTGGGCCGTTTATAACGAAAAATACAGCCACCAGGCTCAAAATACAAACGTGCGACTGTCATTTACGGATATTGTGGATCATATTCAACCTATTTTTGAACACGACGGAAGTATTTCAAATTTCGTTGAAGCATCCCTTTAAAGAGGGGCATCCGTGGCGTCCACCCAAACGTCGTGTTTTCCTTTCCGTCGACGTTCTTGTTTTGTGTAACACAATTATATATATGCTGCAGTTACGTGTTCTACTCGCTGATATACAGCCTCCTTCCGAATTTCCTAGATTTTTCGTTCCGACTTCCGCCGCTTGGCATCGGGCCCTCGCGCGTGCGCAGAACGCTTCTCGGAAAAGGTCCATTACGAAATTCTCGCGTAAGCCGCGAAATGACGCCGAGATTGCGTAGTCCCTGGTTAACAATGCGCGAAACATGTACACGAAAATCTAATCCAGAATCTACAAAAACGCCGAGATCACGCACGTGAAATACTCGCCTTATTTGTCCATAAAAAAGGGAATACTAGTCGAAAACTAGGCTCTCCTTCCTAGTAAGACATTAACATCGTCTTTTTTAGGTACAGTCGCAGCCTATTATCAAACACCGTTTCTCAATGGAGCGGGTGTCATTTTGTACCAATAAACAGTAATTTTCACTGTCTACCTTGTGGAACAGTTTTAAGTCGGTGGCGAACATTAGCATTTTTGAGTTCCTAATACATGACGATAAACCGTTTATAAACACCAAAAACAAGAGCGGTCCTAGGTTAGAACCTTGTGGTACGCCAGATAAGGATGCAAATGGCTCGGACACACAGTTTTAAAATCTGACATGATTTTGGTGACTATCGAGATAGCTCTAAAACCATGCGCAATACAATGGGCATAATCCATATTCTTTCAACTTCATCAAAATTATCTGGTGGTCGACCTTACCAAATGCCTTCGTCATGTCAAAGTAAATTATGTCCACCTGACTGCGGTTACATACGGCGGGTCCGCCATGACCAAGGAAAGCAGTTAAGTTTGTTTCTAGTAACCTGCCTTTGAGAAACCCGTGTTGCACAAATGAAATTTTCTGCCTAAAATAGGAATACAAACGTTTGCAAACAATTATAGCATAAACCTTTAAAAATTTACAAAGAAGTGACACAGAGAGAAAGGTATCGACATCACAAGAATTCCCAGACTTAAGAGCAGGTATTACAACTGCAATTTTCCAAAGAGAAGGGTAAACCTAATTTTTCAGAGACAAATTAAATATATATGTCAAGACGGGGACAAATATTTCAGCACAGTCTTTGATGATAAAACTAGGAATGCCATCACAACCAGTTGAGAGTTTCAGTTTGAGTTTCCGAACAAAGCACATCATTTCTTCCTCTGTTACACTTTGGTATGCCAAATAATCAGAAAAGCCTTCAAATGCGACAACAGGGGACGTAGCACGAGGTTTCGAAAAACATGAGCTAAAGTGCTCAGCGAACGCGTGGCACACTTTCTGTGGTTCGAAACAGAAGATATCATATAAACTTCAAAACGGCAGTGCTGACAATCTTTTGTTTGTGACCGCGTGCATAACGCGCCAAAAGCGAATTGGTTCTCTCCTAAAGTTCTCCTCCATGTGAACATGATAGCACGCTTCATCTCTTGACTAGAATTCTGCAAATTGAAAATCTTTGATACCACAATACTAACGGTCGAATAAAGTAGAAAGTTGGGCTAGTTGGTTTTGGTTATACATAATGACAAATACACAGCGCAAAAGGACAAAAAGGGAAGAGGCACACCGGATAGAACAGCGCTCTGTTCTATCCGGTGTGTCTCTTCCCTTCTTGTCCTTTTGCGCTGTGTATTTGTCATTATGTATAACGGTCTAATTTTTATGCAGTCTTGTACCGCTGCTTTTTAAGTATGTAATGCTTTAAAGGAATACTACAACGAAATTTCGGCGCTTATTTTTTGGTCTATATGTGTTCAAAAAAGCACCATAAATCGAACATACCAATATTTTGTTAAAAAAGTCACGAAAAGGAATTTTAGAACGAATTAAACGATTAGGAAAGAGCACCTGGTGGATGTCGCTAACGCCTAGCTTGTAATGCCCGTCTAGGAACCTTGGCAGCTAGTGACGGAGGTTGTCTCGCCTCCGGCCACGACGAGAGAAGAGGGGCAGGAGGAACTCCCCTCTTCCCGAGAATGCCTTTTGTGTGTCGCAGAAGTCGCTATTCTCCCCCTACAAGATTATAGAAGATTAACCCGTCACTCAAAATTTGTACAAAAGCAGCCGCTTCGGTGGCTGGAACGACTAGGCCATCCTCTCGACGTCAGCCTCGCCGTAGCTTTGCTCGTCTTGAGACGACCTACGTCACGATTGCGTTGGATGTCACATGTTCTTCGCTGGGCCTTCTCCGAGCGCTTGCCAGAGTGGGCCGTTTATAACAAAAAATACAGCCACCAGGCTCAAAATACAAACGTGCGATTGTCATTTACGGATATTGTGGATCATATTCAACCTATTTTTAAACACGACGGGAATAATTGAAATTTCGTTGAACTATCCCTTTAAGTCAGACAAAAACCAACAAACAAATTTGAATTTTCTTGAACGCTGTTTGGGTATAAATTCTTTCATAGCCCGCTGGACAGTTGATGTCAACAATTCAACATAAGATTCAACGTCCCTAAGGCAAAACAGGTGAGACCAATCGCAGTCGTGAAGACGATTGTACAGGCCCGAATAGTCGCCATGCGCGTTCGTGAACTTTGGTATGACTTGCTCACGTAGTGGTTGAAAAGACAAAAAGAAAGATAAACAAAATGGTGGAAGAAAATTGTCAATTGGAACAAGCGCGTCACGTACCTTTTTCACTTCGAAAGCGATGAAGTGCTCTACATCCATTTACGAGAACGAATGTTTTAACAATTGAGAAAATTTGAGTTGACTACGGTTCCAATTGAGACAGCATGATTAACTGGAGGTCCTGTCCCAGAAGA